TGGCACCCCCTCTTTCTCGTGACTCTCACCTCCCATGGGGCACACCACATGGATGCCTGGGTCCACCTGGACAGGGCTGGGCCAGCAGTGGCCAGCAGCACCTACTGGGATCAGCTTAAATACGGAGGACGGGGAGCCCGGCCATGTCAGAAGGGGCCCAAGGCCCCTGGACAAAGGGGCCCAAGCCCCTTCCCAAGTAGCCCTGCCCCGGCCAGGCAGGCCTGGAGTGCAGCTCAGACTTGGGGCCTGACCCCTGCCCATGGCCAGCTCCTCCCCTGCCTGCCTCGGCTGTCTCCCCTTGTCATCATCACTTCCTTTCCAACCTCAGAAAGAGCCAGAACACTGACTCCCGTGGGCACAGTGAGACCCAGCCTCGGGCCTGTAGCTTTGCCCTGAGCAGCTGGTTGGGGGGGCGGGGCAGGCCCATCGCAGGGGAGGCTGGCAGGGCCCCGCCCTGGAGGACGGGCAGCTGACGGGCCAGGAACTCAGAAGGGCTCTGGGGCTTCCCCTGCAGGTGGGAGAGGCCCAGGGGCCGAGGCTGCTCCCAAACATGCGAAAGCTACTGACGTGTTAGCTGACGGGCTGCTGGGACAAGCTGTTCTTTGCCCACACGCTGACACTTCCTTGCCCGCTTATTCTTTGAGGTTTTCAGCCTGACTCACCTCCTGGAGAACTTCCTCCAGTCTTCCAGCTCCTGAAACCTCCTGTCCCTCCCTCAGTCCACTGCCTGGGACCCACTGCGCTCTCTGGTTGGGGCCCTGCTCTCGGCCTGGGGGCTCCCTGGGCCTCAGGGATCTCACCCTGTCTGCAGCACCCCACAGAGGGCCTGGGCCCAAGCTGGGGCGAGTGGGACAGAAACGGGTGAGGGTAATGAGAACGCCCCCTGAGGGGCATTCGCCCATTGTGGACTAGGGTGGGGTGAGCGGCACCCTCGTTTCCAGGGGAAACTAATGCCCCAGGGCATGAAGCGCATCTTCTGGGTCACTTGGTTCACTTTGGGGAGTCGGAACCCTTACTTGTTCCTGTCTTGAAAACCACCTTCCTGTGGGTCAGGAGCCAGGGCAGTGGCCCCAGCCCTGGGTGGCAGCGAAGGTGACGTGAGCGCACACAGTGCTTGGAGATTCCAGGGAGGCCCGTCCCCGGGAGGGGTCGGGGAGACCTTGGGCGTGGAATGTTCCAGCCTCTGCAGAAGCTGCTACAGCGGAGCCTGACCTTAAACGACTAGTGCAGTAAAATAAGAAGGAACTGACTTGACCTGGGAGCTGGCGCTGGCCCTCTGCAGACGTGGAGCAAGTGACAGGGCGCGGACCCAGAGCAGGGGGTGAGCCCAGGGGCGGCCCGTGGACGGAGCCCACCTCTGAGCTGGGGGCGAGAAGGGTGGGGGCAGACAGGTAGGCTGCAGAGGCCGCCATCGCTGACGTAGCACGCTGGGGACAGGCGGGGAAGTGACGGGACAGAAAAGAAGGAATCAGAATGGCAGAAACAGCCGCAAGACCTGGTAAGACGTTCGTGGATGTGTGTGACGCTGCGAGGACAGTTGGGGGGACGTGGGGCGGGGCCATCGTGCATGGTCCCTTTGAGAAAGCCGCTTGCCTCACCTTCCTGCCCTTCCGGACACTGCTCTCGAAGCAGGAAGCTGACTCAGACTAATGGTGGGGCTCGGGGTGCGCTTCTTCACTTCCTGTCTTGACTGCTGCCTGGTCCTAAAGGTGACCTTCAGGGTGCTGGCCCATTCACCCCTGACCTCTGTCCCTCCCTCGCCTTGGTGCCAGTGCTGTGACCTCCTGCCCTTCGCAGAGGGCGGTGCCCCCATGAGGTGCCCCCATGAGGTTGGCCATCCCATCTGGGAACGGAGACGGCGTCAAGGGGGTTTCTGTGGAGCAGAAGCAGCAGCAGAGGGGTCCTGCACCTGGCGTTCTGGGCACAGCCTGATGGGGCAGGGGGGCCCCGGCCTTGGGCCCCTTTCTCAGTCTCCCCATCAGCCTGAGCTCAGGTCTCCTCTCACTCAACATTCTCACTTCAGTTTGTTGTTTCTCCCACCACCGGCCAGGCCAGGGCTGTGAGGCCCGGGAACCCCGATTTCCCGTCTGCTCGTCTCGCACAGCTGTGGCAGACGGGGGCGCCTGGGAGGGTTTAGCGCCGAGGGCTCTGTGGCAACACAGCCTGCTACTTGGCACTGATCCGCGCCCCATCAGCAGGGCGAGTCTGCACAGGAGGCTTCAGTACCATAACAGGATGTCTACGGGGATGTGTTCTCAGCGTGCAAAGGCTGAGAGCGAGGAGCAGGTGGCATCTGGGGCGAGGCCGTACCTGAGGGGCTTCGGAAGGGGGGGCCCGAGCCGCTCCCACTAGCACCAGCCCACCCTGCGCCCACCGCCCACCCTGTTAAAGAACGTGAGTGACCCGTTGCGGGGCTGCGAGTGGACGTGAGTTTTGGACGTCAGGCTGGAGAGGCCCGCCTGGTTTCAGGCGAGTGATGAGTGCACCAAGGTTTGGTCCAGGATGGCACCGAAGGCGCCTGTCCACAGGCAGAACGGGGTGCTCGTTTTCAGGTGCTGAAACAAAGCAGCGCGGACTCACAGGCTTAACACAGCAGCCGGCACCAGCCCGCCGTCCTGCAGATCAGCAACGCGACAGGGAAGTCCGAGGGCTACCCCACGGGTCCTCGGGCGCCCTCCCCCCACAGCAGAACTCCTGCCTCGGCCTGTCCCACATCCAGAGGGCCCTGCTCGCCTCGGTCCACGCCCTTCTCCGCCAAGGCCGTGCCTTGAGGTCATCGCCTCTTCCCCTTCCACGTTTTTTAAAAAGATATATTATTTGTGCGTACAGAACTGGGGTACAGGCCAGAGATGCAGGGAGTGAGAGGATTCACCAGAGACAGAGCGGGGAGCAGAACAGGCAAATTAATGAAGTACACTGCTGAGGGGAGCAGCGGGGAGACAGGAGAGGCCGGCTGCGCCATCCTGGCCAGGATCAAACTCTGGTACTGCACTGTAGCCCATTGGGGCACCGGGGAGGGCCCCTCCCCCTTCCACTTTCAAGGACCCTGTGATTACATTGGTTCCACCTGAGTCATCCAGGTTCTCACCTATTCGAGGGCCAGTTGCGTGGCCACCTTCATCACCTCTTTGACCTTAACATCTCTTGCTGTGTGGCCTTGACATTTTTTTACTGGTTTTAGGGAATTAGAATGCCTTACCTCACAGGTGGGAAATGATAGGGAAAAAGTAAAAACAAATACGGCCTGTTTGTATTTTGCTGAACGCTGCCTTCCATGATCGGAACTGAGTTCACCCCACAGGGGAGGGAAGTAAACATTAGAGAGGTTCACACAGGCCCCATCTTGACAACACGTGGGAATCTCCTGTGTCTGGTTTCCCAGCCCGGCCCTCCATGACTCCCAACCTCCTCTAAGATACTGATCTAAACCATCTGGGGTGTGGCTTGGGCATCTCAGACAGGAAAAGCCCCCAGATGATGAATGGGGGGACTTCGTGACCGTGGAGCCTAGGTTAATTGTGTGGCAGGGATGATGGGCGCTCTCTATACACTAGCTCTGCGAGCTGCACCCCACTTTGTTGGCCTGGGGTCTAGGTCCAGTCAGATCATGCTCGTTCATTCCCTAATGTCAACAACTAGCTTGAAAGTAGAGATCTAACTCCTTCTGGGCAAAGACTCATAAAGGGAATTCTGCTGGGAATTCCTGGGTAACATTTCCCTCTTAGAAGAAAAAAAA